ATTCCTACACAGAACTCCTAAAACTCTTAGAATTTCCCTAGTGATAGGAGTGTTTTTTGTTATTCATAATAAGCCCCTTCTGATGGCACCAGAGTTTATGCTAATGAAGTGATTTAGGCTGGGACTCCTAGAGAGTCTCTGGATGGGGCTGGTTACCAGAGAGAGCAAATGATTAAGGATTGAAACTTTCAGCTCCACCAACCTCCAGGAGAGAGGGTGAGGGGCTTGAGATTGAGCTCTGTAAAAGCTCTGGAACAATGAAATTTGGAGAACTTCCAGGTTAGTGAATACATCAGCTTATTGGGAGGCGGGTGTGCCAGAGAGGACATGGAAGCTCAGAGTGCCCGCCTCCCATACCTTGCCCTATGCATCTCTTCCATTTGGCTGTTCCTGATTGTATCCTTTATAATAAACCAGCGAACACAAGGAAAGTGTTTTCCTGAGTTCTGAGAGCCGTTCTAGCAAACGATCAAACTCGAGGAGGGGATCATGGGAAACCTTGCTTCACAGCCCATCAGTTAGAAGTACAGTTGGCTCAGACTTGAGACTGGCATCTGAAGCGGGGGCAGTCTTGTGGGTCTGAGCTCCTTTAACTTGTGGGATCTGACAGTAACTCCATGTAGATAGTGTCAGAATTGAATTGAATTGTTAAGACACCCAGTTGGTGTCTAGAGAAACGGAGAATTGGTTGGTGTCAGAAAATACATCACAACAGATATAGAACATTTCCATTATCACAGAAAGCTCTATCAGACAACACTATGAAAGGGAAAAGAAAATCTAGTTTAGATCTGAATACTCAGAAGAGGTCTTCAACTCAGTAGTGGTTAAAGAATTCTGAGAATAGAAATCTGAGAAAAATAACTCAGATTAGAGTCTATCTTCCTGAACCAAAGATGGTAAAACCTGGAGACCAAGAGTTATTTCCTAAGTCAGTCCTTTCAGGGTGGCACTTAATAATCTTCCCCTTTTAAGGGTAGAGAAGCTAAAATACACAGTAGGAAAGTCAACTGCTTAAGTTATCCGATAAACCTACAGAAGAGCCCAGGATTAGAACTCAGTTTCCACTGAATTATTTGGCTCCCGCTCTGAGGCTTGTCTCAGCACAGCTGTCAAGACTGACAGATTCATATTTAAACTGCCAGCCATAATCAGAGGCATCACCTAACAGGGTATGGAGACGAGTGAGCTGAAGACTGACTGCTGGAAGGTGGTAGGCCTTTAATCCCCATGCAGTCCCCAAAGTGTCACATAAATGCTCAAGTAAGGATGGGACTTTCAGGTACTGGCAGCTATGACAAGTACATTAACAATATCTGTCTGAGGTGCACACCTTGTAGGGATGGGGATGAGTTCCACCTCATAAAATCTCAGCCAACAAAAAATGAGAAACTTTAGGGCCGGCCCCGTGGCTTAGTGGTTAAGTGCGCGCTCCGCTACTGGCGGCCCTGGTTCGGATGCCGGGCGCGCACTGACGCACCGCTCCTCCGGCCATGCTGAGGCTGCATCCCACATACAGCAACTAGAAGGATGTGCAACTATGACATACAACTATCTACGGGGGCTTTTGGGGGAAAAAAGGAGGAGGATTGGCAATAGATGTTAGCTCAGAGCCAGTCTTCCTCAGCAAAAAAGAGGAGGATTAGCATGGATGTTAGCTCAGGGCTGATCTTCCTCACAAAAAAAAAAAAAAAGAGAGAGAGAGAGAAACTTGATTACAGATTGCTGACTGCTAGCTTGGAAATTACTGCAAACTACTGCATCTTCTAACGCCAAGATGCAATTTGCAGCACAGTAGTCTCCAAGGCTAGAAACATGGCTTTATTAGCCAAAGATCAGCTGTTGGACTTTTTTTTTTTTTTTGGTGAGGAAGATTGTCCCTGAACTAACATCTGTGCCCATCTTCCTCCATTTTGTATGTGGGATGCCGCCACAGCATGGCTTGATGAGCAGTGTGTAGGTCCGTATCTGGGATCTGAACTCGCGGACCCTAGGCCACCGAAGTGGAGCGCACGAACTTAACCACTATGCCACAGGGCCAGTGCCTGGACTTTTTTTCAAAGAAATTTAAATTCTTTTAAAGAAAATTTTGTTTTGGGCCGGCCCTGTGGCTTAGCGGTTAAGTGCGTGCGCTCCGCTGCTGGCGGCCCGGGTTCGGATCCCGGGCGTGCACAGACGCACTGCTTCTCCGGCCACACTGAGGCCGCGTCCCACGTGCAGCAACTAGAAGGATGTGCAGCTATGACATACAACTATCTACTGGGGCTCTGGGGGGGAAAAAAAAATTAAAAGTACTTTGAGATAATTTTAGATTCACATGTGGCCGAAAGAAATAATACAGAGAGATCCTGTGTACCCTTTACCCAGTTTCCTCCAATGGTAAATTTTGCAAAACTGTAGTACACTCTCACAACCAAGATATCAGCATTGATACTGTGGTATAATAAGAAACACATATTTGGTCTTTGTCCCTAGTTCCTGGCACAGAGCTCCTAAACTCGGAATTTCCTGAGTGACAGGAATGTTTTATTATTCCTAACAAGCCACTTTCAACCTTACCTGAGTTTATGCTAATGAGATGACTATTGGTGGACCCCTAGAGCGCTTCAAGATGGGGGCTGGAAATAGCCAGAGGAACCAGTCATGTGATAGAAGGTCGGAAATTTCAGCCCCCTCCCTGACTTCCAGAGAGAGGAGAGGGACTGGAGATGGAGTCAAATCCCCAATGGCCAACGATTTAATCAATCACGCCTACCTAATGGGGCCTCCACAAAACCCCTAAACAATGAGTTCTGGAGAGCTTCTGAGCTGGCGAACACATCCACGTGTCAAGAGGGTGATGTACCTCAACTCCACGGAGACAGAGGCTCTTGTACTCAGGACTCTTTTGGACCTCGCCCTGTGTACTTCCTCATCTGACTGTTCATTTGTATCCTTTATTATAAACTATAATAGTAAGAACAGCATTTTCTTGAGTTCTTTGAGTTCTAGCAAATCATAACATCTTGGGAGGGTGTGGCAACCTTCAAATTTGTAGCCAACTCGGACATAAGTGTAGGTAACCTTCAATACTTGCGACTGGCGTCTGAAGTGAGGGCAGTCTTGTGGGACTGAGCCCGTAAACCTGTGGAGTCTGACGCTACCTCCAGGTAGCTAGTGTCAGAATTGAATTGAATTGGAGGACACCCAGTTGGTATCAGAGAATTGGAGAAATGGTTGTTGATTCCATACCACATTGTGGAATGGCAATAAAGAGGAATGAAGTACTGATGCATGCTACAAAAACGATGAACCTTGAAAACATTATGCTAAGTCAAAGATGCCAATCACAAAAGACCACATGTTGTATGATTCCATTTATAAGAAAAGTACAGAATAGGCAAATATTTAAAGACAGAAAGTAGACTGGTAGTTGCCTAAGGCTAGGGTATGGGGGAAGTAATAGGGAATTTGAGGTGACTGCTAATCAGTCAGAGGTTTTTTGGGGGGGTGATAAAAAAAATGTACTCTAATTAGATTGTAGTGATGGTTGCAAAACTGTGAATATACTAAAAACCATTGCGTTGTACACTTCAGATGAAATGTATGGTATGTGAATTATATCTCAATAAAGATGTTTAAAAAAAGGATGTTATGGGCCGGCCCCGTGGCTTAGTGGTTAGGTGCTCGCGCTCCGCTGCTGGCGGCCGGGGTTCGGATCCCGCGCGCACACCTACGCGCCACTTCTCCACCCATGCTGAGGCCGCATCCCACATACAGCAACTAGAAGGATGTGCAACTACCACATACAACTATCTACTGGGGCTTTGGGGAAAAAGAAAGAAATAAATAAAATCTTAAAAAAAGAATGTTATATAAATGGAATCATAAAGTGTGTAACTTTTTGGGGTTAGCTTTTTTCACTCAGCATAATTCTCTGGAGACCGATCCAGGTCGTTGCATGTATCAATACTTCATTCTCATTCCTTTTTTTTGCTGAGTAGTATTCCATTGTATAGCTGTACCACAATTTAAGTTATTTTTAAAGCAATACTGAGAATGAGTATCTTTTAAGATATTTATTGCTCAATTGCTATTTTTTCTCCTGTGAATTCTTTTCATACCCTTGGCCTCTTTTCTCCTTCCCCTTTTTTATTAGTCCTTTCTCATATCTACTGTACATTCTTTTTCCCAACTTAACTTAGCTTAATGATAATTTTGCAATAAAGTTTTTGACTTTTATGCCATCAAATATTATTTTACATTTTCTTCTAATATCCTTATGATTACATTTTTTCCATTAAAATCATTAATAAATATTTAATTTATTTTAGCACAAGGACTTTGCATGTTAAGTCTTTGGATCCACGAGCAGTGTGATACAGAAGAAAGCCCACTCGGCTAGACATCAGGAGGCTTGGGTGCTAGTCCAGGCTGTGCCATTACCTAGCTAAATCACTCTGAGCAGGCCATCAGTCTGCGGAACTTGCCTTTTCCACTTAGCACAACTGTTTTAAGAAACAAGACTATGGATGTGAAAGGGATTCTCCAAAACTGTTCAACAAATGCTTATCAATTTACAAAGAAAATTTAAAGCATCATATATATAATATATATTTGTATTGGTTACAATACTATTTCTGCTCCATGTGCCATATACTAGAAAACGCACAATGTCAGCTGCAGAGAGTGAGTAGCTTGCCCTCCCTAAAATCCTAAGACCAAAAGAGTCAAGTGACTTGCCTAGGGTCACAGGTGAAATTCAGGTAAGAGCTGGTCCCAGAAGCGAAGCTAAGTGACTATACGCCAGCCCTCCCCCCAAGTCAGAGAGCACCATTCTTCTGAGTTAAGATCTGCTAAAAATGAACTGTCATCATTTGTCTGTATTTATATCCCCACACTAAAAACAAAAACAAGAACAAACTAGTGTCTGAAAAATGTAGAGCTTATAATTAGGATGTGGCGGAGGTAATAGCAGCGAGTGGAATGGGAGGGCTGAATTTCAAGTTATAGGCTCCCACCTTGCTTCCGACAGCCTGGGATTTTGATAAAAGCGCCATAGTCTGTCACCATAGCAACCTATAAAAACAAAACAAAAAAAGAATCAATGTCACACAAATGAGAATCTCTCTTTCGTAGCATTTAACCTAGTCTCCCTGAATTTCTACTTGGTACTGACTGTCTCAGTCTACTGCAAAACTGCCTAAAAGTGATGTTCCGTCAAATGTTCTTTCTGTTCTTTTTGAAATTTAGACTGACAGGTATGTGCGAACACATTAAAACCATTGGCGAGACTGCACTGTTGTTAGATGGTATGAGAGTATCCAGGAATGCCCAAATCCCACACCTATTAAAATCCCCAAAGGAGGTATATGAACAAAAAGTAAACAGCAGAAAATCAGGTAATAAAATTACACTTTATACTAGCTGGGACTGGGGCCTCCAATCCCAACACAGAGAACTATAATAATTTGCAATGTATCACATAGGACATCCTTTTTTTTCCTAAATTTCAAATCAAACCAGACCATACAGCCTGCTCCATTTCACTCCAAATCAGAGTCTTGGGTTTTATCAAGACAATTAAAGAAAAAGCCCACACGCAGACATCTGATAGAACCTGAAAAGATACAGAGAGGAAAAGAGTTGTCCTGAAGTCTTTTGCAGAGTGACCTAAGATGGAGAAGTTAGAGGCTTGATGTTTCTATGTAATATGTAATAGCAATGAAAGGCCCAGAATCCTCTAGGTAAACCACTATCCCAGACTACCTCTCCCTCTCCCTCTCATCTATCCTCTAGCCCACCCCCAAACCTGTGGATTAGGATTACAGTTGCCACTACATTCTAAATTTATCACTAAATTCATTATTACTTGTAAAATATTCAATACAATCTTACACATATAAACGTTATTTTTTTCAGTAACTTGAGTTAGTTGTTTCATCTTGGGCAATCACTGTTTCAGCTTCATCATAACAAAAACAAGGGGACTGAATAAGACAATCCCTGCCACACTGCTATTCATTAATATATACTGAACACTCACTAAACGCAAAACACTATTCAAGTGCTTTACATAATCCTCCTGAGACCATATGATGTTGGTACTATTATTATACTCATTTGATAGATGACAAAACTGATGCATGGAGAGACTAAGTAACTTATCCAATGTCCAGAGGTAGTAAATAGCAGAGCTGGGATTCGAACCCAGTGAGTCTTAACTACACTAGAGGTGCTCATGGGTTCCCTTTAACTATAAAATTCTAAAGGCCGAAAGCAATGTGACATTTGACATCTTATCTGCTCCTGGCAACAAGCTTTAGAAGTATATATGGATATACACCTGAGTGTATATATATGGATATATATATAAGTATATATGGAAGTATATATGGTAGGTCCCCATGTTGCAGATGAGGTGGAATAGTACAGGTGTAGAAAGAGCTTTGGAGTGAAAGATGCGGCTTCTACTCCCAGCTCTGCCACTTCTTACCTGTGGGATCCTGAACACAACTTGCCTTTCAGGACCTAAATTCCCATTTGTATTCACTTTGCTGCTACAGATAACAAATGATGTAATGATGTACATACAGTACCTCACACTTGTATCTGGCACCTAATGTACACTCAAAAAATTGTAGCTTTTTAATAATTTACAGTCCAAGACACTGAAGCAGAAAAAGGTTAGTAACTGGTGGAAAGGCACACAACTAACTTAGATACAAGCGAGGCACAGAACCTTGGTCCCTTGGCTTAGTCCAGTGCCTCCTACTTCACCAAATATCATCATTACTCACTTCCATGTTAGGATGGGAATAGATAAAAACTCCCATTCTTCCCATTTTTTGAATGGGCACTTGAACCAACTCTCCAAGATACAGCATTAAGAATGGGTTAAGAAACAAAGTTCACAACTCCTGTTTTACACTGAGGCATATGCTAGGCTGGGGGAGCGACCAGGCAGTCCTAAAGAAACAGTACAATCAGGCAGATACTAGTACTTAAAATCAAGGCAAGGGGGAACTGGACAAAGGACTTCAGAGATTAACTGGTCCAGTCTTGCCATTTTTCAGATGAGGACAGTGAAGACCAGAGACATGAAACGCTTACCCAAGTCCATAAAGCAAGCTGTTCTCTGTAAAACAGGGCCACATGGATAAAGAAGACAAGACTTTAAATTTTTAATTACCATAAAAGCAAATGCTTCCTTTCTGGACTAAAGGCACTTTGGCTTTTGCTCCAGGGTTCTAGAAAGAGGACTGAGATGTCTCATACTATATAATAACATTATTAAAGGGCATAATTATCTAACAAACTTAAAAGTAGCATCTGGAAGTTGGAGCCCAAATCACCTTGCTGCTGTATTTTAAGACAGTCTCACTTTTCAATCCTGTTGCTCCACTGTCACATCATAATCTTCTGAGGAAACATTATAACAGACCTTAATTTGGCCTCTCCCAAAAGGAAAGGTTAATGTGCTCCAGAATGGAGGCACTCAACTGTTCAGTTAGGAAAAGGCATTCTTGCCTATTTCCAGCACCAGGTGTTTCCATCACTGTGTCTCCTAGGGTGCAGTCAGTTGAAATTAACAGAATGGCACCTGCTGTAGATGATCACACAGTCTGCCTGGTGTCCCAAGAATAATTAGTCAAATAGCTCAGGGGAAAAAATTCAGTAATTATCTCAACTGAACTTAGGGCTTGGGTAAAATGAATTTACCATCTTCAGATTAGAGGTTGCACTGGCATTGAGAATTAGTTATCCCCATAATGTAAGTGAGAAAGTTGAGGCTCAGAGACATAAGTTACTTGTCCCACGTCACAAAGTTAGAAAGTAGCATGGCTAGAACAGAAGTTTTTTGACTTGTAATCCAATGCTATTTCCACCTTACCAACGCCAATCTCCCCTCAGCATTTCTTTGGCTATGGCTGGGCTGAGCCAAATACCAACTCCCACTGCTATGCTTCTACCCGCTACCACGCTTAATGGACTCCAGCACCAAGATGCCTCTCAGAGGATGGGAGAAGGACGAATATTGGCTTCTCAACTATTCGGTCACTGGGCCCCTCAGCCCTGCTGAGCCTGCTAAGAGAAGAACTGCTGGTTAAGGGCTGCACCACCAGCTTCTTGAAGGACAACTGGTCCTAAAAGGCTTGGGTTCAACTTTATTCAAACATTTACTGAGCACCTATTTGCAAGACACCAAGTCAGGTACTGCGAAATAAAAACAACTTAAAAAAAGGGATGCCCAGCCTATTTTTAAATGAATTTGAAGTAATTACCAAGATACATGAGACAAAGCATGGCCTCCGCTCTCCTTAGTAACTCACTATCTAGTGCAGGAGACAGACACATACATAAGTAACAATAATGCACAACAGACTGTGATAAATGCCATAACCAAAGAACAAACAATGACCATGGAACAACCAGATTTACCATCTACCTTCCTCCTATACCCCAATTCAGTCAAAAGAGTTCTTTTATGGGTCTTTTGGTTCCTCCATGCATTTATGTACAGCTGGATAATCCCAGGTACAGGTTAGCAGAAAGTACACTTGAAGAGAGGACTTGATTTAGAATCCCAGCTTTGCCATTTATTAACCACTGGGCAATTAGTTAACTTTTGAGAAGAGTTTCCTTATCCATAAAATGGGGTTAACAATTTCTTTGAAGAGAATCAATGACACAGAATGTGTGACAGTGCTGACATACAATTAGGCTTACAAAATTTTTTTTGAATTTTAATGTAACTGAGTCTTCTTTGTAAATATTAGGCACTCATTAAATGTTTGTTGGATGAATAGTTTGAAAAAGTTTCTTCTTTCCAATTTATCAAGAAATTTAGGGCCGGCTCCGTGGCTTGGCGGTTAAGTGCGCGCGCTCTGATGCTGGCGGCCCGGGTTCGGATCCCGGGCAAGCCCCAAGGCGCCACTTCTCCGTCCAACGCGAGGCCGAGTCCCACGTGCAGCAACTAGAAGGATGTGAACCTATGACATACAACTATCTACTGGGGCTTTGGGGGGAAAAAATGAATAAATAAAATCTTTAAAAAAAAAAAAAAAGAAATTTATCTTTCCCTAATTCCAGTCACTTCTAAATCATCATTTTTCAACATGTGCTACTGAAATACTAAGCTGGAACTATAAAGTTCTCTCTGAACATTCCTGTAGCTCAGCCATCTTTGATAGTAAAACACAAAACCTACACTAATTCAAGTTCCATCTCACTTAAGAAGGAGCTGTAGGAAAGGAGCCATTTGAGAACTCTGAGTCAGTTTGTGGAGGGTAGAGCGTGCTTGTCTTTCTTTTGTGCAACACCTGACAAGTGAGAGCTTCATGATCAGAAAAGTCAACTTCACCTTCAGTGCTACCACTTCCCTTTTCTGAGCCCTGGTACCTCACCGACCTTTGGGGATACCACGGGCCTTAGAAAAAGAGGACCCAGGCTCTGAAGAGCAGAATTGTTTGCTATTTGTCACAATGTTACTCTTTGTATCTTGACTGTTATATTACAAGTTGGGATCAACTTAACAGAAGTCAAGAGCCACAATTATCTATAACCAACTGACAGTCACAAAGTCTGTCCTCAAAGGCCTCACACGATTAGAAGATGAAACTTTCATCAACCGTAAAGCAAGCACGAATGCCATAAGAAAGACAGAGCTAAAATACCACAGGCACTCATAAAGATGCTGAAAACAATTTTTTGGCTCTACTTTTGCTTCAAGAGAAGGGAGATAATATTAATGAATTCCTACTATGTCTCAGGCACTGTGTTTTTTAGATGATAGCTTATTTAACCATCATGGCAATACTGTAGAAGTAGTTATTATCTCCACCTAACAAATGAGGAAACTGAGGCTCAAAGAAATTAAGTGACAGTTTCAAGACTCACACAGCTGGTAAGTGAAAGAGCTAGGACTGGAAGCCAGGTTTTGTCTGGTCCCAAAGCCTCTGCTCTCTAAACAAATACAATGCGTTCTCCCTCAAAGGTTGAACATTATTCAGTCATCAAAGATGCAAAGAATATCTATTATTTTCTAACCACCTACCTGGGATTGAGATTTACAACAGTGAATAAAACACACAGGGCTCTGTCCTCATGGAGTTCAGTGTTTCGTGAGGAAGACAGATATTAAACAAGCACACAAATAAATACAGGGTGAGTCTATTTATTTATGGTGGGAAAAAGATCACTGAGGAGATGACATTAGGGCTGAGACCTAAAAGACAAAGAGAAGTTGGTGGGAGAGGGGTAGTTAGAAGCAACAGCATGTGCAAAGGTCCTGAGAAGGAAGCAAGCTTAGAACGTTCAGAGTTGTGAGGAGGCCAGCGTGGCTGGAGTACGAGTAGAGTAGAACAAATCAACATTGTCAGAGTAGGCAGAGGCCAAGTCATGTAAGGGTCAGGAAAACGAGTCTGGATGCATTCAAGGATAATGAAAAGCCTAAAAGAGCTGTGAGAAAGCAGCACAGTCCAATCTGTTTTTAAAATGGTATTCTGGGCCGGCCTGGTGGCTTAGCGGTTAAGTGCATGCGCTCTGCTGCTGGTGGCCCGGGGTTCGGATCCCCGGCGCGCACCGACGTACCACTTCTCCGGCCATGCTGAGGCCGCGTCCCACATACAGCAACTAGAAGGATGTGCAACTATGACAAACAACTATCTACTGGGGCTTTGGGGGAAAAAATAAATAAATAAATAAAATTATAAAAAAAATAAATAAATAAAGGCAACCAAGAGACCTAATTATAAAAAATAAAATAAAATGGTATTCTGGCTGCAATGTGAAGAAGAGATTGGAGAGGGACTACAACAGAAGTAGGGACCCCAGTAAGGGCCAGGCAAGAGATGAAGAGCTTGAACTAATGGGATAAAGAAGTACACAGACCAGAGATACATTTAAAAGGTAGAAGTGACAGGACTTGCTGATGGACTAAAGGGGGAGGGAAAATCAAGAGGAGAAATCAAGGATGATGCCCAGATTTCTAGCATGGGTACCTGAATGGATAGTGGTTCTACTTGCTGGATGTGATGGAAAAGTCTAGAAGAAGCATAGATTTGGTGAGAAAATCAAAAATTCAGCTTAAAACATAAATTAGAGATGCTGTAAGGTATCGAGATGAAGATGTCAAGGATGCAATTAGAAGTCTGGACCTTAGAGGAGGTTCACATGGTAGCAGACACTCCACAAGCCCTTTCCGTTTAAACTATAATGCTCAAGATATTCTGAAGCAGCCAGGAGCTCCAAACCCACTGCTTTTCACCCTCAATCTATGCTTAACATAAATGGCAGATTATCAAAGCCAAACGAATATACCTCTCCTTGGAAAATAGTATAGAGAGCAGGCAAGTTCTCCATGGTCTCGGGTCTTCCTGAATTCATCCTTAATGTTCTATGGCTCCTCCATTTCTCTTCTGCTAAAGCTAATTCAAGTGTCCTGTCACAAAGAAAAGACAGACAACAATGTGAGAGACATCTTCATTAAAGAAGAACTGTGCAGACGATCCACAGCTAATCTCTACAGAATAATACCATTAGATTTAACACTATGTACTTTTATCCAAATCTCTTTTGTCCACTCTAATTGTGGGGAGTTTTGGAAGCCTTGATCTTATTTCTTTTCAATTTGATACTTACCCAAGGCCATAAGTCTACTTTTTTGTTTTTTGTTTTTTAGTTGCTATTCTTTTGCCAAGGGAAGCCTTTTGGGGTGTGTGTGTGTGGGTGGGTGTGTGTGTGGGTGTGTGGGTGTGTGTGTGTGTGAATGAATCTTAAAAGGGGAATAATAATAGTAACAAGAGCTAACTTTTATCAAGCACTTACTATGTCCAGGCACTGGGCTAAGCACTGGACATCCAACTTCTCATTTAATCCTCAAAACTCTCAAGATGTAGGTTCTATTATTATCATTTTTTATAGATGAGAAAACTAGGGCTTCCAGAGGTCAAATTCCTAGGCCTATGTCAAAAAGCCAGGAAATGGTGGAGTCAAGCTCTGGCTGACACCAGACTTCACACTGTTAACCACTACGGTAGGCATTAAATCTGAAGTGATTTCAAAAAGAAAGAGAATAGCTTACTTGTTTCCTGATAAAATTGAGAACGCACATGCTCATTTTAAAAGTTCAGACAGGGGCCGGCCCGGTGGCTTAGCGGTTAAGGGCGTGCGCTCCGCTACTGGTGGCCCAGGTTCGGATCCCGGGCGCGCACCGACGCACCACTTCTCCGGCCATGCTGAGGCCACGTCCCACATACAGCAACTAGAAGGACGTGCAACTATGACATACAACTATCTACTGGGGCTTTGGGGAGAAAAAGGGGAAAAAAAGGAGGAGGATTGGCAATAGATGTTAGCTCAGGGCAGGTCTTCCTCAGCAAAAAGAGGAGGATTGGCATGGACATTAGCTCGGGGCTGATCTTCCTCACACACACACACACAAAAAAGTTCAGACAATATATTAATAATGAAAGGAAAATCACCACAATTCAATTTTATTTATATGCTTTCAGACTTTTTTATACGTTGAAGTGGTTTTTTACTGGAATCATGAAATCATTAATTAATAGCCATTTTCCTACTTAATATATTTTAGCAATTCACACACACACCTTTAATGCCCACATAATAATCCATTGTTGGATGCACCAAGTTTATTTAACTATTTATAAATCATGTTATAATGCAGATTGCAATTCAGTAGGTCTGAGTTGGTGTCTGAGATTGTACATTTCTTTTTTTTTTTTTTTTAGCCCTGAGCTAACATATGTTGCCAATCCTCCTCTTTTTTTGCTGAGGAAGATTGGCCCTGAGCTAACATCCATGCCCATCTTCCTCTACTTTACACGGGATGCTGCTACAGCATGTCTTGATAAGCGGTGCATCAGTCCGCGCCTGGGATCCGGGCCGCAAACCCCAGGCTGCCGAAGCAGAGCGCGTGAACTCAACTGCCATGCCACCAGGCTGGCCCTAAGACTGTACATTTCTTTTTTTGTGTGTGTGAGGAAGATCAGCCCTGAGCTAACGTCCATGCCAATCCTCCTCTTTTTGCTGAGGAAGACCAGCTCTGAGCTAACATCTATTGCCAATCCTCCTCCTTTTTTTCCCTTTTTCTCCCCAAAGCCCCAGTAGATAGTTGTATGTCATAGTTGCACATCCTTCTAGTTGCTCTATGTGGGATGCCGCCTCAGCATGGACTGACAAGCAGTGCGTCGGTGCGCGCCTGGGATCCGAACCCGGGCCTCCAGTAGAGGAACGCGTGCACTTAACCGCTAAGACACAGGGCCAGCCCCAGAGATTGTACATTTCTAACAAGCTCCCAGGTGGTGAGGCTGCCTGATCAGCAAGTCTTAAGAGTTCTGGAGTTGGAAGGGACCTTGGAGATACGCTTGCTCGGCCTTCTGGTTTTAAACAGAGAGGAAACTAGCAATCTAGTGGCTCTTAACCATGCCCCTTTACTCTGCTGGGTAAATCACTGCTACGTAAAGATAAATCAAACGGTGCTGTGCTCAGTGCTCCCAATTATACTCGATATGTATAAGACTTGAAATTCTATTTTCCTTCTTTTTATAAGCAAATAAGCAAATACTTTCTTCTCTCCTCAGCACCCAGCGCTCTCCCTCACTTTCAGATGATGATTTCAGGTCCTACTTTTGGAAAGGCTTCCTATTTGCAATGACCATCCATGTCCTGAACTGCCTCACTTGAAACAGAAATGAAAGAAAATCCTGTCAGCCTTCCAAATCTTAGTTGTAGTATCATCCTAAAGCCCAGGAACATCCCCGTCCTTGAGTTCCACAGGACAACCTTGTACCGTATAATAAACTTGCCCTTTTCTGCTTACGTCGGCCAGAGGTGGTTTTATTACTTTACTAATAGCACATAGAGAGAATGGATGCATACTGTCAGTTCTTGAAAAATGGCTGAAGGGCCGGCCCGGTGGCACAAGTGGTTAACTGCACGCGCTCCGCTGCAGCAGCCCGGGGTTCGCCAGTTCAGATCACGGGTGCGCACCAACGCACTGCTTGGCAAGCCATGTTGTGGCAGCGTCCCACACAAAGTGGAGGAAGATGGGCACGGATGTTAGCTCAGGGCCAGTCTTCCTCAGCAAAAAAAAAAAAGAAGAGGATTGGCAGATGTTAGCACAGGGCTGATCTCCTCACAAAAAAAAAAAAATAGAAAAATGGCTGATAGACAGGTTAAATCCAAGTATCACAGCCTGGTTGGATCCTGCCTCTTCCACTTCTCAGCTAAGCAGTCTCATCTCTAGTCCTTCCCTTCCCTCTGCCCAACATCCCTCACCTCAAAAAAGCATCCCAGAATAGAGGTTATCAACCTGAGGCCAACAGCTCTATCAAGAGACTTGAATTATCCCTCCAACTCTTGGAGCACTACTGAGGTAGAGAATCCACAGAGGCATCAGTAGCTAGGACATCTAAACTGAGCTCCGGGGCCGGCCCTGTGGCTTAGTGGTTAAGTGTTCGCGCTCCGCTGCTGGCGGCCCGGGGTTCGGATCCTGGGCGCACACCGATGCACCGCTTCTCCAGCCATGCTGAGGCGGCGTCCCACATACAGCAACTAGAAGGATGTGCAACTATGACATACAACTATGTACTGGGGCTTTAGGGGAAAAATAAATAAATAAATAAAATTATAAAAAAAAAATAATAATAATAAACTGAGCTCAAACATCTTAGTCTATCACCTGCTCCTCTCTGCACAAGGTCATGGAAAGAGTAATAAAAGTGGAAACAACCTTAAGTTGTTTCTTACAGATTTCTGTTGTGATAAAGAGTATGAACAGCTAAGTTTAGGGCTCTCCTGTGCTCCTTCTGTAGAACAGTAGCCTGAGAAACCCTAAGCAATTCTTCAAGAAGGAAACTGGAATGCATCTTTGGGGGAAAGGCTGAAAAACAACAGCCACAGGTTTACAATTACAGGAAAGTAGAGGGTTGCCACTTTTTAAAATGGGATTTAAATTTTTTTTTCGAATTATGTTCTATGGAAACCTAGGGTTCTATGATGATTATTCAGAAGCTCCTCAGTTACTTCAAGTTTATTTTTAAAAAGTCAATTCTGAAATATCTAGGGACCACAGAGTTTAAGAAGTAGGGCTCTAGGCCAACCAACCAGAGGAGAGCCTCCATACCAAAGGTGGGGGGAGCACAGCCCCAGAGAATCCAGAGTTGGGGGAGGTCCCACCCAGAGCAGTTGGGAAGCTAGGAGCCTCTGCTCAGTAATCAGGCAGAAGTCGATCATTGCGGATTCCCACTTGCCCTCCCGGCCTTGGCATGGGCCACGCTAGCAAGGGGGAGTAGAGGTTACAGGAGAAGGGCCTACTTTTAATAGTATATTCTGCTTTGATCCAGCTTACCTATTAAGCTTCTATGTAAGATTCATTTGGAAAAAAAGGTCTGCTGCTTTAAAAAACTTTATAAAACACTGAGATAGATATAGTCCAGTCAGACAAGACCATACCTGTAGACTTAAAAGAGCAAGTACGTTGTCAAGGATTGAGGTACACCATTCGGAGTTGCCTTGTAATAATTCTGAAAACAGAAAATCTTCCTTAAGTGCTTCGTTTTACTTGAATGTTTAAATAACTGGACAATGTAGGGAAGCAATAGGGACCCAGTTACCAGCTAGCCCCTTCCCAAAGCAAGGGGCAGAGGAAGGAAAGTACAGTGTGGGAACGGGAGGTGTGGCAGGGGGATGGTGACCCAGAGTGAGGCCAGAGCCTAGGTTGAATGAGAAGGAAATCTGCAAGGAAGAGAACCCAGTGTGCGGAGGAGCAGGTTCATGAGGGCGTCCACACACTGCGGCAGTCCAGAATGGGGAGTCAGTGCCCAAGGATGGAGAAGCAGAGCCTGAGGATTAGAGGTAGTCAGGCAAGGCTAATTTCCTGACTTTAGCAGTAATATGGTGGTTATATAGAATGTCCTTGTTTGTAGGAAAACTAAAGTATTCGGGGTGATGGGGGCATTAGGTCAGCAACTTAACTCTCAAATGATTCATTAAAAAATGTTATTTGTATTATACCTCCATAATTTTGTGATTGTTTCAAAGTTTTTTAAAAAAAATGTGCATGCAATTAGAAAAAAAAAATAACCACATCCTGTCCTCCCTCCTCTCAAGCAATGAGAAGTTCATAAAACAAAATTAAATTGGTAAGATACTTTATAGCCTCTTAGGAGCTTCACTTCACATGTCACCTTACTGATCTGGCCAATATGTTCACTGTTGTTGTTTTTAAGTTTGTTTGGATTTATATCTGTTCTTGTTATTTCCAGTACTAACCGGATAGAACCCTGAGAGTTAAAGGGATTTTAATTTATCTTTAAACATATAAGAATCGAGGGGAGAATCAGTTGCTAAGTGAAAACAGTGGGGTAGGAGCAAAGGCAGAATAATGACTCTAGAGTTGCATTCTCAACCACTATT